TTTCCAACAGCTTCTGTTGATTTAGCATAATCTTCCTGTGGGTTAAATTTTTAAAAAGATAAATCTTAAATAATTAAACATTTGAAATCTAAACTGAAAAAACTCTATCCTGAGTCAAGGAGTTTAGCCAAATAATGCTAATAAATTCAACTTAACAAATCACACATAGACTGTTTATACTTTTAGTAGAAACCTTGGTCATCTAGGACCGCTCTTCATCCCTCATCCCCACACATCTCCAAGTCCTGTCAGTTTCAGTTCGGAATGTTTCTACTGCCCATTGCCCTCTGGTTCCCAATGCCTTTGTTAAAACCAAGGCTCTCATCACCTCTTAATAACTAGGCCACCTTCCTCCTAGAATTCATTTTTCACAGTGACTATTTCAACTCTGTACCTGGCTATTTGTTGGTTTGTGATAGCCTCCCCCACCCCAAGCATCATTGTGCTTCTGTGAATCTGGAGTTACTGTTTTCTCTCCCAGGAACACGTGTTTCCTTTACTTTCTGTCTATAGGGTTTTCTGTGTAAAAATGATTCTTAGCATGCTGTGATATAATTATGTGGGTTTTTGCTTCTTTAATTTAACTGAGCTCCTGAAAGATAGGGTATTTGGCTGAATTATTTCTGTGTCAATATTTGTCCTTGCATAGTAACTGGCTCATAGCAGATAATTCAAGATAGATAATGTTGGTAAATATACAGGCCTCATGCTCCCTGAACTATTTTTATTTTAGGGTTATGTACAGTTGGGTAATGGAATCAACTCTGAAATACTGTCTCTCCAAGTGTGATCCGTGGATGTCACTTCGGGGGTTCAAGGTCCTACATTTTAAACATATCCAGATAATTCTGATGGGGCACCAAAACTTAAAAACCTTTCTTCTAATAGGAAATTTAAACTGCAGCTGCCAGTAATACACCATTAGTAATACAGATCTGTCTTAAAGGGAGGGTCCCCAAAAGTGTATAGACAAGGCAATTCTGGACTTTAAATATAAATGCTCTTTTTAAAGAAGTTTATTTAGGAAACATTTCTTTAAAAAATTAAAAAGCATGTTTAAACAAGCATACAAATAAAATTATGCATTTCTTACCAGTTCAACCACTAGTTTGGATGTATTGGATGTGTTTTTTTGCCTAGTCCTTAAGGTAGGAGGGGAGAAGACAAATTGAGAAGATAAATCTGAAACTAATTCTTTCAGCTGTGCCGGAGCCTCTATTTTTTTAGCTAAAGAAAAGAAGAAAAAACACTGCTTACTTACAAATATATATGTAAGTGTATATATACATATATGTGTGAGTGCATATATACATGTCTTATTATTATTTTAAAGCTTTAAACAAATTCTGCACATTAGAAAGATGTAAACACCCAAACTTGAAAAACACTCATCTAACATGGTACCCATGTTAGGAGAGAGAAATGACAGGAAAAATTCCAACTCCATTTGGGTAAACCAAAGCTTTAGGAATATTTTATACTTCAAACTAAATAATGCTACAATAGAACTTAAAAAGCACATACAAAACTGTATTATTCCACTAATTTTAATCTTTACTGCTCCTCAAACATTCTGGGAAGGAAAAACATCAATCTCACACATAACCTACACTAGTTCTGCTTCATAATTCCTATCCTTCCAGGAAAGTTTCTTTATAAAGTAATCTTATTTACAAAGAAGACAATCAAACCTTTCCTTTCAGCTCATTCTGAGCTAGTTGTTTCAAGTCAAGGGAACAACAGAAAACTCCACATCATAAAAGTAAAAAGCAGATAAAGTAACAATACAGAAAAATAGGCTGAAAGGAAGATATTCTACAGATTAAAAAAAAAATGTGATTTATGAACTGGTTTAAAATATGTAATTAAAAACATTTACCACAGACTTGATTTCAAATTTTTTTCTGCTTTTACTCCAGGGTCCTCATATTAATGGCAATTAGCAGTGTAACTATGGAAGTGGCACAGTGCAGCTGAACCAGTCTGCTAGAGAGTAAATCCCAGCGTCTGGACTTACTAGCTGTGGGAACAAAGGCAAGCTCCTTATACTGCTCTGGGTTTCAGTTTCTACAAAATGGGATTAAAATAGTGCCTAGAAAGTTATTTTGAAAAGTAAAGGATTAGAACAATGTGTGCTATATGGTAAGTGCTTTGTAGATGTTTGCATTTGTAATGATGTTGTTATTTCAAGAATATAATTTACAAATCTTTGAAATCTCAGATTTAGTTCAATATTATTTCACCTACTGGGACAATAAAGATTCTGTAAGATGTTAAATTCTGCTCTTAAAGGCATATGATTCTGAACAGAAGAAAAAATAGGGAGGGATGGGATCAGAAATAAGTCCTCTCAGCTCCCAGGCAATAAGCAGCAGATGTGGAGTAAAGGCTGGGGTTACTGGGGCTAACCCCCTCTTCGGTGTTAAAAAAAATCCCCAAAGCATCTGTAGTCTATGAACATGATACCTTCAGTATCTTTGGCTTTTCAAAGACTAGCTCAGAGCCTTCACCTCCACTTCAAAGGAATAATTAAGGAAATACAAAAATAGACCCTTGTGCAAAAATGTCCAGGCCCCGTCATTCCTTCCATATGCTTCTATTAGCCACTCAGGACTTTATTATAGTTCTTTGTATGTCAGTTCCTTGCCCATTAGCCATTTTTATCATCTTGGCAAAGACCCACCCTACTGGGACCTATTCAGATACACCAGTGTCTCGACTTTTTCTTCATTATCACTTTTACACCATTTCTCTTAATTGCCCAGATAATTATGAATTTCTACATGTACTTTATGTATATCTGTGCTTTATACATGAAGAGTTAAGATACCCTCACCCCTTTGGGGAGATATCACTCCTGCTAGGAAGGTATGAGTGATACCAGCCAAACAATACCATCACCAGTGGCAAAGAGGAAGGCTGGGCATGCAGCTGTGCAGCTGATTTAACAGGCAACAGGGAATATGGATTTAGATCATTTCTGTATTCTAATCAATAAAATTGTTTCCCTTCAAAGCAATCTGAGGTTGTGGATATTAGTTGGACATGAGCTGAACACAGTAGTGCTTAGATTAAAAATGTGGATTCTATCTGGGGATAAACCAAAATTAAGTCACTTAGGATATAAGGGCAGAAAGAAGAGAAATTATACTATTAAAAAAATTAAACCTATGTCAAGTAAACTTAGAAGTAAAAAGTAATTTTGAACCAGAAAATTCTTACACCTAAAAATAAAAGTAATTTTGAACCAGAAAATTCTTAAACCTAAATATAAACTTTGAAATACAAAATATTTTCATTTCACTATTAAAAAAACATTAAAAAAAATTTTTTGGAGGGGGCAGGAATTTCCTGTAACTACAAATTATTTTTAGGAGAGATAAATTACTGCCTTACATCAAACCAAATCACACTTAAAACAATAAATTTTAAGCTGAAGACTTTGAATGAGATAAGAATTTTGCTTTGAGTAGAGATGTTAAGAAAGTACCTTTCTCTTTCCTTGGAACTTTTGCCATAGGAGGAGAAAAGAAAGACTCATTTGTTGATTCAGAAAGGTCCGGCAACAAGATGGCCTTGCTGGATCTAGTTCTTGTGCTACGAGAGGTTTTTGTCAGAGCAGGTGTGACAAGCAGTTTTTCCTCTTGGCCATCTGGTTCTGCGTGTGTCATTCCTTTATCTATGCATTTTTCTGACAGTGAGCATAATGGATGTTTTTGGCTTTGATTTTCAGTCCTTTCTGTAAGCTTTTTCTTAGCGCTCAGCTCAGTAGTAAATTCCTCATTTGGCACTAAAGCTAGTTTTCCAACATCAGTATTTTCACTCTTAGCTGGGATATTTCTTGTAGATTTCCTTTGGATGCTGAGAGCTTCTCTCTTCTTGGAACATCCTGCTTCCTGAACAATTTTAGATCCTACATCTTCAGAGGAATTAATTTTTCTTGGTCTACCACGTTTCCTAGGTATTGTAGGCACATCAAATTTTGCTTCAAGAGTCAAGTGAGATGAATCAAGTTTAGAGCCTTCCAGAACATCTGAGGCACTAACTTTTCTCTGAACCCTTCTGGTAGGTAGAATAGGCTGTTCACTGGACTTCCCATCTTGTTTATATCCTTTGTTTCCAGAAGCTTCTAAATTAGCACCTCTCAGTTTTCTGGTACTTCTCGTAGGACTTACTGTTTTATTAACTTTTAGATCATTTACAGTTTCAACACTTTCCTCATTTTCAACAGATTTTTTAATTCTCTTAGGAGTCCTTTTTGTAACAGATGAAAGCTTAACTTCTTTTCTAAAAGAAGTTTCTTCAGTTGCTGGTTCCAGCAGCTGAGATGATTTTAACCTTCTTAATCTCCTACTTGGAGTAACCTGTAATTCTTGTTCCACAGAATTAATACTTTCTAATGTGTCTTGATTAATCTCTCTTTTGCTTCTTCCTCTCCTAGGTGTAACAGAATTTTGAGGTAGTTGCTGGTTCTGAGATATTCCTGTGACATCAGAACAGGCACTTTCAGAAGCTCCAGAGATTTTTGTTTTCCTAGTTTTCTTCATAATTGAAAGCCCCAGCATCTGAGGAGCAGCTACTTCTGCTGACTCTTCCTGCTGTGATGTGATATTCAGGTTTTGGACACGTTGTCCTCTCGTGCGAGTTCTGGAGGAAATCATGTCATTAACTTGGCTGACATTTATAGTCACTGTATTTGTTTCCTGAACAGTCTTAAATGTAGATTTGACTACCTTGGAACACATTACCTTTTGGTTTATTAGAGGTATGTTTCCATGAATGGACTGTTCCATTGTATCTGAAGTAATTTCTTTATTTCTTGTGTCTTTAATTACATCTAACAAATTTTCTGCAATTGCTACTTTAATCGGTTCAGGCACATATGGTAATGTCTCTGCCTTTTGGGGCTCCTGATCACTAGTTGTGACAGATGGCTTCTCTGCAACATGCCCATGATTACCATCTTCCCCACTGTGGACATGTTTTTTCTCAGATGCCGTGTTAGTTGCTTTGGCCAACACGCCAGATGCTGCAGAATCACCTATCTCTAGTTCCCCTTCTTCACCTTCCAGGATCAAGGTAAAGTTGCTCTGAGCCACAAAAAGTTCCCCGTCTACTTCAGCAATGTCACACTCAGCAGAGTCTTTATTATCGGGCAAGTCACAAAACTGTTGCTCAATGGCATCAAAATTATACTGAAGCTTAAGAGTTCCTGAGGGATACAACTCCGTAAATGAAAGATTCCTAGTCTCTCGTCCTGAATCTTGAACTTCAAGCTTTTCATGTTCAGTCACCTAAAATTAATTAAAGAGAAGAGATTGGTTAAAGAGTTTGAATGTATATACTATTTTAACCTAAAGCATAAAGTTTTTTTAACAACCATTTCACCCTTGGTGTATGAACTATTAAACTGTATTTGATACAGCATATACTTATGGTTTTACTTTATAAAATATCCATTTAAACAATCAGACTTTCTCACTCAGTCAATACAACTAGACAGAAAAAGATTGAGATTCTAAATGGAATTAAAGTAGAAATTCCCCATTTCCCTGGTTTAAAAACAGTCTTAACAAAACTTTGAAAATTCTGATGCGAACAGTTGTGAGAAGAATTAAGGACTTACTCTACTCTCACCCACAAAAAAAATTAACTGGAGAACAGAAACAAACCCCCACACTGTGTTTTAATAATGATAATCCCCAAATTACCTAACTAACCACACTTTCTAAACAGCACGATCCCCATAAGGTTGAAGAAGAATTCACCTACATAAGCTCCCTTGGGCTAGACTCAATCCTCTTCCCTTTGCTGGGGCTGCATAAACCATGAAATTCCTAAGGCTTTCAAGTTCAGTACCTCTCCTGCAAGGGTTTGGTGGAAGAAGGAATGGTCCTTGCATTTACCTTTTGGTAAGGGAAGGGGAGAAAAAGGAGGAGGTAGAGAGTAACAGAGAGATCTCCTGACCAAGAAGGTAGAACATTACCACCCACTTAGACAATGACATTTTCCCATTCCCCAAACATTGTGAGATGAAAGACTGGAAATATCCAGGAATGAGGGTTCCCACATATACCACACCCACAATTTTTACTGGCTTCCCAACTGAAGGGATAGGGACTTTATCCATCTATTTCACAGTGAAAATACTCATGACAATGAATATGGACAACAATGTATTTTTATGAGTTAAGAAACCCCCAAGTGCTATATAATAATTAGAAGAGGTAGTTTTTCTTCATCTTAATTTCTTTTATCATATAAAAGAGATTTGATGGAATTTTTAGAAACTGGAAGTCATTTAAATATCATAAAAACAAAGACAGAAACCTTTTTGGAGTGTATAGAAGTTAAACCTCAGCCAGCTGAACATCATTCTCCTGGAAGTATGCATGGGGGAAGACTCCTATTTAACTGTATTCAATTATTTTCAAATACATGCTCTGAATAGTTTAGATATCATATTTGTCTCTGGAGTAGCCAGTACCTGTTGTCTTATAGGTAAAAGAACTTTTGTTTAAAACAGACACTAGGCAAAAATTGTTAAAATTACAACAGTAAATACAGCCGTAAACAATTTCTTCAAGGATGTGTTGTTTCATGCTGCACAAAAATATTTACTCACTTCTTAAAAAGATTTTTATAAAGAAGCTTTTATATAGCAGTTGAAAAATGAATGCATTAGGTTTGAAACCTAACTAAATCAAAACTGAAAGACTGACAAAGAAGTAAAAAATTAATTTTTTTTACATGACTTTCTTGAGTATCAGGAGGACCATCAGAAATTGGAAGCTTTTCTTCTTGTAAGTCAACAGTTGCTTTTAGTACACCAACTTCTATTTCACAGTCTTCTTTTAAGTTCAGTGCTACTTCCCGGCCAAGCCTATGTTCTGAGTGAACAGGACTTGCAGAGAGAACAAGTCCAGAGCTTCCACTATCACCAAGGACACTGGCCAAAGCTGAAAGGGAAACTAAGAGTTAATTTCCCATATTTCAAATTGAACAAAATGATATATGCACTGTTTGAGGTGCAAACAGAAGGGAAAAGGCTACACTGCATTTGAGAATATTTCCTTGAAAATAGTCATATTGCAAGTGTCTAACATCTTAAAAGGCAAAAGCCTAGGAGGACTACATATTAATCCTGTTTTCATCAGTATCCAATCATTCATTCAAAACAATATGTATTTGCTTTCCACAAAGAAAAAGCAAAATAAATTGTACTTAAAAAAGGACACTTTTTTCTCAACTGGAATTTAATTCCTGCCCTTATTGTGAAACTTCAATATGGTAACTGCTTTGAGAGCCTCAGACATTTGTTCCTTATTAATCTCAAAATTATGTTTACCCAGTGACTATTAGCCAGCTACTATCCTTGTTGAGCTCTTGGGAGATCTCTTTTGGCAGAAAGCATTCAAATGGCCACAAATATATTCTAGTACTGAAAAAAAATAGGCTGGGGGAGGTGGGCAGGTAGAGTGCAGCCCATTTAAAAAAAACAACAACCCTCCTTGTATATCTTTCACCTTCCTCTTTGCCAAAGTTTTATATGTCATTAACACTCATAGACCATTTAGAGTTTGTGAATGCCACAAAATCCAAAACACCTCAAAGGAAAAATAAATCTAAATAACAAAAAACACTTCAGTGTTCAACAAAAAAAATCAATGAATAGATTAAAAAGAAGGCCAACTAGGAAAAAGTATTTTCATACTTCTAACAGGGAATGGGCTAGTATCTCTAAAACACAAAGACTGCTTGTGAATTATGAAACAAAGTGAAAAAAGTTTTTCTTCATCACTTCTCACTTTTGGCTTACCTAAAGGTAATGTTCCAAGTGTCTTACTTGTATCAATTTACTTAATCCTCACATCCAAAGTGGTAGTACTTTATCCCCATTTTATGGATGAGAAAACACAAACCCACATGGTCACACTACTTATCCCAGATCTAAGTAAGTAGCTAGGATTCAAATCTAGCCTGTTTCACTCTGGAGTTTGTGCTATATAATCAATCCCACACAAAAACAACACAGATTTCTATTTTAGACTGCTTAATCTTTTTAGGAATGATTAAGGAAGATACTGCCATGAACACCCTCATCTAATATTTACCATTCAAATATTTTAGTGGAACACAGCTTATCAAAAGAGTAACATAAATTTCTAGACATATGCTATTTATGCAGATAGTCCTAAATTCTTAGAGCAATGAGCAATGCTTATGATTATTAAACACCACAGCCCAAATTTCACTGCACTTGCAACTTACAAAACCTTAGTTCAGCTTAGGCAGAAAGTATTTCTCAGAAGACATTATGACACAAATTTTTATACATATCTTGTTTTTAAAGTTAGAAGTTATCTTTAAATAAGCTTGTTAAAACTGTGCAGGACTAAGAAACATAAAAACAGAGTGCTTCTGATCCACCAATTCTAAGCCAAGCCTCTCCCTTTCCTGCTGTTCCCCTGGCCCCTTGTATGCCCCTCAGAATAGCATTTACTGAACTATGTTATATGTGCTTGTTTATACAGTCGACTAGGCTCTAAGTTACATGCAGGCAGGTGGCATATCTACTTTACTTACTATTTGATCATCAACACCTAGCACATGCACAGAAGTGCATCTGTTGTACACACTGAAGGGCTCAATTTTTTTTGACAGATAATTAACTTCTTGATTTTGGAGTTTTCCAGAAAGTTGAGGCCGCCAGGTAAGTTTAAGATTGTTCTAACAATCTAGTTTGTGTATTAATATCATTTTTTGTAGGTATAGGAGGTCCTTAAAAGACTGCCATATGACATTTCTTCCTTAAATATTACTGTTCTTTCCCAAATTTCATTTCCAAATAAAAATAACTCAGGATACATACATAAGTTCTCCTTCCCTAAAATAATGAATGAAACAATGTAAATAAGCCATATTTTTAAGTAGAAAGAGTATGATGAGTATATTGTGTTTGAATCTCATATACTATGATTACAGAATTACTCAATCTTGAAACTTCTTATTGTGGACAAAATCCTATCACAAATTTTACAGAGGGACATTAATGGCCATTCTAAATATTTGGAAATGAGTTCTTACCCATTTGTTTCTCTTGGTCTGGAGGAGTAACTTCTGATTCAAACACATCTTTATCAAGTTCCTTCTCAGTCTGCTCAGTTAAATTAGATATAATTTCAGTGGAAGAAACTGCTGTCTTAGAGGCCAAGATAGTATCTTCAAAGTCTTCTGGTGATGGTGCATCCTGATACTCCAAGGTAATCTGATCTGACCTGGAAGAAGCATTGGTATTTTCTTTGCTCATATCCAGTTTCTCCAAACTTTGTGAAGGTGTATCCTGTGACCTCACATCCATTTCCGGATGGTCCTTTTCAGGGCTACTTAAAGACTCATTTGTTGATTCAGAAAGGTCCGGCAACAAGATGGCCTTGCTGGATCTAGTTCTTGTGCTACGAGAGGTTTTTGTCAGAGCAGGTGTGACAAGCAGTTTTTCCTCTTGGCCATCTGGTTCTGCGTGTGTCATTCCTTTATCTATGCATTTTTCTGACAGTGAGCATAATGGATGTTTTTGGCTTTGATTTTCAGTCCTTTCTGTAAGCTTTTTCTTAGCGCTCAGCTCAGTAGTAAATTCCTCATTTGGCACTAAAGCTAGTTTTCCAACATCAGTATTTTCACTCTTAGCTGGGATATTTCTTGTAGATTTCCTTTGGATGCTGAGAGCTTCTCTCTTCTTGGAACATCCTGCTTCCTGAACAATTTTAGATCCTACATCTTCAGAGGAATTAATTTTTCTTGGTCTACCACGTTTCCTAGGTATTGTAGGCACATCAAATTTTGCTTCAAGAGTCAAGTGAGATGAATCAAGTTTAGAGCCTTCCAGAACATCTGAGGCACTAACTTTTCTCTGAACCCTTCTGGTAGGTAGAATAGGCTGTTCACTGGACTTCCCATCTTGTTTATATCCTTTGTTTCCAGAAGCTTCTAAATTAGCACCTCTCAGTTTTCTGGTACTTCTCGTAGGACTTACTGTTTTATTAACTTTTAGATCATTTACAGTTTCAACACTTTCCTCATTTTCAACAGATTTTTTAATTCTCTTAGGAGTCCTTTTTGTAACAGATGAAAGCTTAACTTCTTTTCTAAAAGAAGTTTCTTCAGTTGCTGGTTCCAGCAGCTGAGATGATTTTAACCTTCTTAATCTCCTACTTGGAGTAACCTGTAATTCTTGTTCCACAGAATTAATACTTTCTAATGTGTCTTGATTAATCTCTCTTTTGCTTCTTCCTCTCCTAGGTGTAACAGAATTTTGAGGTAGTTGCTGGTTCTGAGATATTCCTGTGACATCAGAACAGGCACTTTCAGAAGCTCCAGAGATTTTTGTTTTCCTAGTTTTCTTCATAATTGAAAGCCCCAGCATCTGAGGAGCAGCTACTTCTGCTGACTCTTCCTGCTGTGATGTGATATTCAGGTTTTGGACACGTTGTCCTCTCGTGCGAGTTCTGGAGGAAATCATGTCATTAACTTGGCTGACATTTATAGTCACTGTATTTGTTTCCTGAACAGTCTTAAATGTAGATTTGACTACCTTGGAACACATTACCTTTTGGTTTATTAGAGGTATGTTTCCATGAATGGACTGTTCCATTGTATCTGAAGTAATTTCTTTATTTCTTGTGTCTTTAATTACATCTAACAAATTTTCTGCAATTGCTACTTTAATCGGTTCAGGCACATATGGTAATGTCTCTGCCTTTTGGGGCTCCTGATCACTAGTTGTGACAGATGGCTTCTCTGCAACATGCCCATGATTACCATCTTCCCCACTGTGGACATGTTTTTTCTCAGATGCCGTGTTAGTTGCTTTGGCCAACACGCCAGATGCTGCAGAATCACCTATCTCTAGTTCCCCTTCTTCACCTTCCAGGATCAAGGTAAAGTTGCTCTGAGCCACAAAAAGTTCCCCGTCTACTTCAGCAATGTCACACTCAGCAGAGTCTTTATTATCGGGCAAGTCACAAAACTGTTGCTCAATGGCATCAAAATTATACTGAAGCTTAAGAGTTCCTGAGGGATACAACTCCGTAAATGAAAGATTCCTAGTCTCTCGTCCTGAATCTTGAACTTCAAGCTTTTCATGTTCAGTCACCTAAAATTAATTAAAGAGAAGAGATTGGTTAAAGAGTTTGAATGTATATACTATTTTAACCTAAAGCATAAAGTTTTTTTAACAACCATTTCACCCTTGGTGTATGAACTATTAAACTGTATTTGATACAGCATATACTTATGGTTTTACTTTATAAAATATCCATTTAAACAATCAGACTTTCTCACTCAGTCAATACAACTAGACAGAAAAAGATTGAGATTCTAAATGGAATTAAAGTAGAAATTCCCCATTTCCCTGGTTTAAAAACAGTCTTAACAAAACTTTGAAAATTCTGATGCGAACAGTTGTGAGAAGAATTAAGGACTTACTCTACTCTCACCCACAAAAAAAATTAACTGGAGAACAGAAACAAACCCCCACACTGTGTTTTAATAATGATAATCCCCAAATTACCTAACTAACCACACTTTCTAAACAGCACGATCCCCATAAGGTTGAAGAAGAATTCACCTACATAAGCTCCCTTGGGCTAGACTCAATCCTCTTCCCTTTGCTGGGGCTGCATAAACCATGAAATTCCTAAGGCTTTCAAGTTCAGTACCTCTCCTGCAAGGGTTTGGTGGAAGAAGGAATGGTCCTTGCATTTACCTTTTGGTAAGGGAAGGGGAGAAAAAGGAGGAGGTAGAGAGTAACAGAGAGATCTCCTGACCAAGAAGGTAGAACATTACCACCCACTTAGACAATGACATTTTCCCATTCCCCAAACATTGTGAGATGAAAGACTGGAAATATCCAGGAATGAGGGTTCCCACATATACCACACCCACAATTTTTACTGGCTTCCCAACTGAAGGGATAGGGACTTTATCCATCTATTTCACAGTGAAAATACTCATGACAATGAATATGGACAACAATGTATTTTTATGAGTTAAGAAACCCCCAAGTGCTATATAATAATTAGAAGAGGTAGTTTTTCTTCATCTTAATTTCTTTTATCATATAAAAGAGATTTGATGGAATTTTTAGAAACTGGAAGTCATTTAAATATCATAAAAACAAAGACAGAAACCTTTTTGGAGTGTATAGAAGTTAAACCTCAGCCAGCTGAACATCATTCTCCTGGAAGTATGCATGGGGGAAGACTCCTATTTAACTGTATTCAATTATTTTCAAATACATGCTCTGAATAGTTTAGATATCATATTTGTCTCTGGAGTAGCCAGTACCTGTTGTCTTATAGGTAAAAGAACTTTTGTTTAAAACAGACACTAGGCAAAAATTGTTAAAATTACAACAGTAAATACAGCCGTAAACAATTTCTTCAAGGATGTGTTGTTTCATGCTGCACAAAAATATTTACTCACTTCTTAAAAAGATTTTTATAAAGAAGCTTTTATATAGCAGTTGAAAAATGAATGCATTAGGTTTGAAACCTAACTAAATCAAAACTGAAAGACTGACAAAGAAGTAAAAAATTAATTTTTTTTACATGACTTTCTTGAGTATCAGGAGGACCATCAGAAATTGGAAGCTTTTCTTCTTGTAAGTCAACAGTTGCTTTTAGTACACCAACTTCTATTTCACAGTCTTCTTTTAAGTTCAGTGCTACTTCCCGGCCAAGCCTATGTTCTGAGTGAACAGGACTTGCAGAGAGAACAAGTCCAGAGCTTCCACTATCACCAAGGACACTGGCCAAAGCTGAAAGGGAAACTAAGAGTTAATTTCCCATATTTCAAATTGAACAAAATGATATATGCACTGTTTGAGGTGCAAACAGAAGGGAAAAGGCTACACTGCATTTGAGAATATTTCCTTGAAAATAGTCATATTGCAAGTGTCTAACATCTTAAAAGGCAAAAGCCTAGGAGGACTACATATTAATCCTGTTTTCATCAGTATCCAATCATTCATTCAAAACAATATGTATTTGCTTTCCACAAAGAAAAAGCAAAATAAATTGTACTTAAAAAAGGACACTTTTTTCTCAACTGGAATTTAATTCCTGCCCTTATTGTGAAACTTCAATATGGTAACTGCTTTGAGAGCCTCAGACATTTGTTCCTTATTAATCTCAAAATTATGTTTACCCAGTGACTATTAGCCAGCTACTATCCTTGTTGAGCTCTTGGGAGATCTCTTTTGGCAGAAAGCATTCAAATGGCCACAAATATATTCTAGTACTGAAAAAAAATAGGCTGGGGGAGGTGGGCAGGTAGAGTGCAGCCCATTTAAAAAAAACAACAACCCTCCTTGTATATCTTTCACCTTCCTCTTTGCCAAAGTTTTATATGTCATTAACACTCATAGACCATTTAGAGTTTGTGAATGCCACAAAATCCAAAACACCTCAAAGGAAAAATAAATCTAAATAACAAAAAACACTTCAGTGTTCAACAAAAAAAATCAATGAATAGATTAAAAAGAAGGCCAACTAGGAAAAAGTATTTTCATACTTCTAACAGGGAATGGGCTAGTATCTCTAAAACACAAAGACTGCTTGTGAATTATGAAACAAAGTGAAAAAAGTTTTTCTTCATCACTTCTCACTTTTGGCTTACCTAAAGGTAATGTTCCAAGTGTCTTACTTGTATCAATTTACTTAATCCTCACATCCAAAGTGGTAGTACTTTATCCCCATTTTATGGATGAGAAAACACAAACCCACATGGTCACACTACTTATCCCAGATCTAAGTAAGTAGCTAGGATTCAAATCTAGCCTGTTTCACTCTGGAGTTTGTGCTATATAATCAATCCCACACAAAAACAACACAGATTTCTATTTTAGACTGCTTAATCTTTTTAGGAATGATTAAGGAAGATACTGCCATGAACACCCTCATCTAATATTTACCATTCAAATATTTTAGTGGAACACAGCTTATCAAAAGAGTAACATAAATTTCTAGACATATGCTATTTATGCAGATAGTCCTAAATTCTTAGAGCAATGAGCAATGCTTATGATTATTAAACACCACAGCCCAAATTTCACTGCACTTGCAACTTACAAAACCTTAGTTCAGCTTAGGCAGAAAGTATTTCTCAGAAGACATTATGACACAAATTTTTATACATATCTTGTTTTTAAAGTTAGAAGTTATCTTTAAATAAGCTTGTTAAAACTGTGCAGGACTAAGAAACATAAAAACAGAGTGCTTCTGATCCACCAATTCTAAGCCAAGCCTCTCCCTTTCCTGCTGTTCCCCTGGCCCCTTGTATGCCCCTCAGAATAGCATTTACTGAACTATGTTATATGTGCTTGTTTATACAGTCGACTAGGCTCTAAGTTACATGCAGGCAGGTGGCATATCTACTTTACTTACTATTTGATCATCAACACCTAGCACATGCACAGAAGTGCATCTGTTGTACACACTGAAGGGCTCAATTTTTTTTGACAGATAATTAACTTCTTGATTTTGGAGTTTTCCAGAAAGTTGAGGCCGCCAGGTAAGTTTAAGATTGTTCTAACAATCTAGTTTGTGTATTAATATCATTTTTTGTAGGTATAGGAGGTCCTTAAAAGACTGCCATATGACATTTCTTCCTTAAATATTACTGTTCTTTCCCAAATTTCATTTCCAAATAAAAATAACTCAGGATACATACATAAGTTCTCCTTCCCTAAAATAATGAATGAAACAATGTAAATAAGCCATATTTTTAAGTAGAAAGAGTATGATGAGTATATTGTGTTTGAATCTCATATACTATGATTACAGAATTACTCAATCTTGAAACTTCTTATTGTGGACAAAATCCTATCACAAATTTTACAGAGGGACATTAATGGCCATTCTAAATATTTGGAAATGAGTTCTTACCCATTTGTTTCTCTTGGTCTGGAGGAGTAACTTCTGATTCAAACACATCTTTATCAAGTTCCTTCTCAGTCTGCTCAGTTAAATTAGATATAATTTCAGTGGAAGAAACTGCTGTCTTAGAGGCCAAGATAGTATCTTCAAAGTCTTCTGGTGATGGTGCATCCTGATACTCCAAGGTAATCTGATCTGACCTGGAAGAAGCATTGGTATTTTCTTTGCTCATATCCAGTTTCTCCAAACTTTGTGAAGGTGTATCCTGTGACCTCACATCCATTTCCGGATGGTCCTTTTCAGGGCTACTAATGGAAAAAGATGACTTATCTTTGTTCTTCAGCCATTCAGGTTCTGCTGGAACTCCATCTTTATGGACAGGTGTAGTAACAAACACTTTTGTTTTGCTTTCACCTGTATTCTGTTAAGTAAAAGGTTTTGAAAAAACATTTATTAGTGAAAATCAATTAAGTCTCAGCTACCCATCCCAGTCACACCAACCCTTTCTGCGTTCAGTATTTCTCCAAATTCTCTTCCAAAATTTCACTTATTCTAAATCCATTCTCTTCAGATACATGATTAAAAGTTAATGGTTGTTAAATGTTTCCCTAACTGGTTATAAATCAGTATTTCCAAAAAACTAAAACTTGAATCAGGTACGATGACCAATAATCACCAAATTGGTTCCTATTAACCTACTACAGTGGAGCTCTAAAGACACACCCTCCTGAACAGATAACCAATTAGGAACTTAACAGAATTAACACAATACAGGTTAAAAAACAAAGAAACAAAAAAATATGGACTAAGAATTAAGAGGCCTTGATTCTAGTTCCATTTCTTCCACTAAACAATGATTTGATTACAGTCAATTTACTTGGTGCTTCTGAGCCCTATCTTCGTCACCTGTAAATGATGGGTTTGGCTTAGCCAATGCCCTAAATTTTCTTTCTGAATTAATGTTTTCTGATTTCATGACTATCTGCAAGACTGTATACAAAAATCTAGTGATATTATTTAAACTGATTGAGCTAAATTTTTACTTGTAGATGTTAATATATTAAGTCTTTTTGTTCCAACTATTGTCAAACTTACTCCAGCAGTCCATTTTGTGGTCATGCCTTCTTCCACAAAGGAAATTCTAGTTTCTTTAAGTCGTAAAGGAGGAGTAAGAGACCTTCCAGGTGAAAGAGAGGGCGATGCTATAGGTGTTGTTCGAAGACCAGACCTTAGGATGGATTGAGGAGTGAACTCGGCGAATCCAGAGGAAGTTACTGACATGGCCAAAGTTTTAGCTTTCTATGACAAAGAGCACATGGAATCCCACCACTAATGTTTGCAAAAGGCACTTACATACAGACAGGGTCAGGTAAGTCATAATACTGGCTATTATTCTCATAATAAACACAATCAATAAAAAGCTTCATTACAGATTACTAGAAAGGAAACAGAAAAATTCTACTCCAAGCTTTCTATATGTAAGGCTACAAAGCATAAAAGTGCATCCATAATCATTCTAAAGGACTTGGTTAATTCCCAGCTTAAGCCCAGCTTAAAAAATAAAATGCTGAGATAAGTTGAATTATTGCTTAGATTTCAGGTAGGTGAAAGAGATGATAGTGTGTCAGTGGAACTTGGCTTAATTAAAGTAAGCTAATCTAAATTAATGAAACATTTAAGAATGTTTTAGAAAAAATACTTCATCAAATGAATCCGACAATACTAAATTACTTAAAAGAATCCTCTGAAGACTTAGAATAATGAATAAAAATAATCAGCATAGAAACTAGTTAGTAGAAATAATTCCTTCACTAACTTCTCCTCTAAAGGACTGGTAAAAAGATTATTGGACCCTCTAGGTTACTGAATTCCATTATATCTGTTATAATATTGTATCTTTTATTTTCTAGTAGCAGGCACAAAATTATTCCCTGATTTAATTTCATTTGAACCTAGCTATAGAGAATATAAAATGTGATTTTTTTTTGATAAATGAGGAAATTAGAAACACTGTACTAGATATTAAAAGTCAGGAACTCGATAATCTTATCAACTTTCCTTTAATAACTATTTTAGGACTAGCATTTATTAAAGTATCTTTTTATTCAACTTGAAAAACAAGAATTTCCTGGCTTCACTATTAATGGTGAATATTCAGAAATAATTTTTAAAAAATGGGAAGAATGTTCTGGCTGTCACTCTAAAACACTGGACAAGTTGTTAAGGGATGGATGATATGTATAACCTTTTCACAATGAGGCGAGAGACCACTTACCAGTCATTAAATGTTTAGTTTTGTGGTTTCTCAGCTAGTAATTTATCAGAGAGGGTGGAGAAAAATGCAATTTGAAGACATATACTGAGAGTATAAAGGAATAAGAGCTTATAGTTTCATCAAAGTAGTCAGCAAACTGAAGCAAAAAATAAAAACAGACCTAAAAACTAAAAAAGTATTTGCTAGAACAGCAAAATGGCATCAGAAGGGTTAAAAAAGCAAATCCAAGAAAATGAAAGCATTTTTCGAAGGATTAAAGGATAATTTATATAGTAACCACACAGAGCTTTGCATTACTTTCAGGACAACAATAAAACTGTTAACCTTGAGTATAATGCCAGTTAAGCACAAAGCATAAATTGAGTAAAGTCTGTTTAAGAAGGTGTAAAAATACAGAAAACACTTCAAGAAGGCATCCAAAAGAATAAAAAATAAAAAGACCTAAAATCATCAATTACACATAGATATTAATTATAAACAGTTTATTTCACCCTGCTACTGGAAAAACAAGAACTTCCTAGCTTCATTATGAATGCTAGAAATGCAATACTCACCTTAACTACAAGAGGAGTTTCAAGTAAACGTAGTTCTGAAGCCCTGGAGGCATTCTGATGTGATCCTTTTAATTGTGAAGTTATTGGCAGTGAACTGGATGCAGAGTGCAAAGGAGATCTTGTGGGTGTTTGCTGAATAAATCCCAAACACTGAGAAGGCTGTGGGACAGGATGAACAACCAGATCCAGTAGCCTGTAAACAGAGTATACAGATGAACAGAAAAGTCCTGGTAACTTACTGAGTTTTATTGAAGAAACAAAAGAATTTAGAATCCCATTTAATTACTAAAATTCTACATTCACTGGTAAATATGATCACTATATGAAAATATAAATTCAGTAATTATATTAATGTAATGACACCATTAGTTCATAAAGTCAGGAAATTAATCCAGTAGCCAAAAAAAGGAGAATTAGGAATTTCAGATAATGACCAAAACAAAACAAAGGAGTTCTAGTCCTCCTCCTTCTCCTTCACCAATATTTACTTACTGACTGCCCCACTCTGTGCCAAAACATTTGTTTTCAAATGAAGATAACTGCTAGTGATTTAATATACTAAGGAAAACAGGCAATGGTTCCATGTGCTACAATTTATTTTCACAAACACATAAAAATTCCTTTTAATTTCTGGTGCATCATTTGCATAGGTCACCCCCTTTCCCGATTTCCTAACAGACTATCTTATGGTTATATTTTCCAGCACTAAAACCAGTATCTTCTTACTGCCCCCAAATGCCTATTTGACTTAGCTAAGAATAATTAGAAAAGTACAGCATGTTTTCATGCCCAGAAATAAAACTTCCAGTTGCTCTGCCTTCCCCATCATCTGTACATTCAGGTGAGATTTTCACAATTAGGGGTGGCAGACCAACATAGATCACAGAGGCCTTAAGACCCAACCAATTACCCAGTGGGGAAATATTTACAAAAAGCATTTTCTTAATACAGGGTCTTCCTACTTATTACCCTGTACTAAGCACAGCTTTGAGATTTCCACCAAACCAAGACCATCCAACCACAGTGCTAGACATTTCTTTCTCTATTGCCTGTTCTGATTTTGTATTCTCTCTACCTCATTTGTATTCAAAGTTTCTATCTGTAAACTATTTGCTTGTTTTTTTTATTGAGGAATCCTAAACAGGTATTTTGTTAAAAAATTAATATTTATGTTTAAGGTGCTTATTTATGAATGATTGCTTCTCAAAAGCAGGGCCTAAGGAACTAATGGTACCTAGAGTAAAAACAAAATTCTTATACTAATAAGACAATATACTTAAACTATACTAAAAAAAAAACAAGAAAAAATTTGATCATGGTATTTTCTAAAGAAAATCTTAAGTATTGCATTAGATCATAAGATTTCCTCAGTAATATTCCATGCTCCAAATATGTAATGCATTTTAGAAAATAGATCATGCACATACATAAAACATAAATTACACAAAATAGCATTTAACCTTACTATATATATGTGGTATGCACTGACAATATCTAGTCTATTCAGTTTGATTTAGAGATATGCTAGTCACAATCCACTTAATTTACTTAGTACTCACTAATGAAAACCAGTTTGAAAAATACAAAATTAGGGAATGGAATGAAGTAAGAGGTAAATATTCACACTTCAGTTGTCTCTCTTCTATTTGAATTAACACTGGTTTTAAAGGATTCTCAAATACTTCTTTAGGTCCTTAGGTCATTAGTCAAGAGTCTTAAAAACTTTTATTCTTCCCTTCTTGAATCCCAGATCTTAAAGCACAAAAGGACAAAGTAAAAGTGACTTGTTAAAAAAAAATACAACTATTGGTAGGAAAACAGAATGTCAGCAATAATGACTTTTATTTGAAACAATCTTCCTATCACCTCATGAGAATAGAGGAAAAAAAACTCAACCTAATTAAATCTAATCTCCCAAATGGAAAACCTTTTCAAGCTTTGAAAATATGTGCATTATAAACACTATAAACAGCTCTGTTCATAAGTTTGTAAGATATTAAATTATTATGAGTACCTTGTTCTTAGTATTACAAATTCAGATAAGTTTATTCCCATAAAATAATATAATCTGGTCCCTGATAAGATGTAAACAAAAATTTACACCAATCATGGGCATATTAATAAAGAGAAAGATTCAATAAATTAAGAGACACTTGTTCTCTAATATTGATGATTATGATCACTTTTCAACTATCCAATTCTCTTAAATACTTAGAATCACAATTTCACCTTTGAAGCAAAACTTCAAATATTTACTCTTTCAATATCATAGGTTAAGATATTAAACTACTACTGCATCTGAAAACCTAAGAAATTTTTAGTACGCTGTTGTACAGTAGAAAGCCTCAATGAGCCAACCAAAATTAGTCAGGAACTATAAAAACAACCGTCATTCAGGAACAAATCAACAAGGAGATTATATTAAAGAAAGCAACTTAAAATGGTTTATTTTGCTCATGACTTTGATAAAACGAAGTTTGCTTTTCACTAAGTAGTCCTGAAATCATCACATAAAAATTTTAAGTAAGAGTTTGGGAAGATGGCGGCATGAGTAGGGCAGTGGAAATCTCCCAAAACCATATATATTTTTGAAAATACAACAAATAAAACTATGCCTAACAGACAGACCAGAGGATACAGGACGCCAGGCTACATCTTCATCTGCTAGATTGAAGCTTCTCACGAAGGGGGTAAGATACAAGCCGCGACCCGGTGGGACGCAGGCACTCCACCAACCCCAGCCCACCAGCGGGAGGAAAGGAGTCGAGCGGGGAGGGAGTGGAAGCCCAGGACTGGTAAATAACCAGCCCTAGTAATCCACAGTGGGAGAACAGACACACATTGCATGGTGTGCTGGATATTAGGGAAACAGAAAAGTTAAATCTGTGAGCAGGTCCCTGCAGCCAGCTCCCCTGGGACAAAAGAAAAGCGAGTGCTTTTTCAAAGTCTTAAAAGGACAGGAGCCTCACAGCGGGACGGAATAGTCCGGGCACACTCAGCCCAGCAGCTGGGAACCCCAGGGAACTTCAGCCACCATAACTCCCTGGGAGACAACACAGCTATGAAGCCCCTCACGGCGATAAACAGCCTGCCGTTCATTCCCGCTCCCGTGAGGCCCTGACAGAGCAGCCTGAGAGCGGCCGTGCCCACAGCAGCCGCCCAGAGCCTCTTCCTAGTGCGCAGCTGCGTGGGCCAGATCCAAAAGCTGCCGCAGGCGAACAGTTGCCCAGTGCTGGCAGGGAAAGCTGGGGCAAGGTGCGAAGAGGTGCCGTTCTTGCAGAACACACTGGGAGCAATGAGATGCCCTGCCCACCGCGGCTCAGGAAATTAACCCAGAGCCTGCTCCCGGGGTGCGGATAATGGGCACAGGCAGCGGACTTTGTTCTCCCAGTTAACACATGCGCTACCTGCCTACAATTACCACTATCGCCATGAAAAGGCAGAAGAATTTGGTCCAGTCCAGAATCACCCAGACAACCCCTAAGAGAGGCCCTACGGAGATAGATTTAACCAATCTTCCTGAAAAATGATTCAAAATAAAGGTCATAACCATGCTGATGGACCTGTAGAGAAATATGCAAGAGCTAAAGGATCAAGATGGGAGGGAGAATACAGAAATAAAACAATCTCTGGAAGGACTTAAGAGCAGACTGGATGAAGTGCAAGAGACTATTAATGGAATAGAAATCAGAGAACAGGAACACAGAAAAGCTGAGGCAGAGAGAAATAAAGAATCTCCAGGAATGAAAGAATATTAAGAGAACTGTGTGACCAATCCAAATGGAACAATATTTGCATTATAGGAGTACCAGAAGAAGAGAGAGAAAGAGGGATAAAAAGTCTCTTTGAAGAAATAATTGATGAAAACTTCCCCAAACTGGGGGAGGAAACAGTCTCTCAGATCATGGAGGCCCACAGATCTCCCAACACAAGGGACCAAAGGAGGACACCACCAAGACATATAATAATTAAAATGGCAAAGATCAAAGACAAGGACAGAGATTTAAAGGCAGCCAGAGAGAGAAAAAAGGCCACCTACGAAGGAAAACCCATCAGGCTAACCTTAGACTTCTCAAAAGAAACCTTACAGGCCAGAAGAGAATGGCATGATATATTTAATGTAATGAAACAGAAGAGCCTTGAACCAAGAATACTGTATCCAGAACAATTATCATTTAAATATGAAGGAGGCATTAAACAAATCCTGGACAAGCAAAAGTTGAGGATTTGCCTCCCACAAACCACCTCTACAGGGTATTTTAAAGGTACTGCTCTAGATGGAAGCACTCCTAAAGCTAAATAGATGTCACCAGAGAAAATAAAATCACACCAAAGAAAGCAGACCAACCAAATACTAAATAAAGGCAAAAAATAAATCAACTATTCATAAAAGCAGTCAAAGGAAACACAAGAGTACAGATTACAACACCTAACATAAAGAAGGGAGGAGGAGGAATAAGAAGGGAGAGAATCATCAGACTGTGTTTATGATAGCTTAATATGCAAATTAATTTACACGATTAGATAGTAAAGAAGCTGCTCTTGAACCTTTGGTAACCATGAATGTAAAGCCTGTAATGACAATAAGTACACATCTTTCAATAATCACCCTAATTGTAAATGGACTGAATGCACCAATCAAAAGACA